TTTATTCATTCTAGAGTATATATCATGTTTCTATGTTATTTATATTGTTTATTATGTCATATTAGATGAATTGTGACAGACAAATAAGCCACAGAGTTGATATTAGCATAATACTGAAGTATTTTGTCCTGTATCCCAAGAGCAGGAAATCTGCTGGAATGGATTAATGACATTTTCATTAATTAAAATGAAAAATGATTTGATATACGAGCAAATTGAGTTATGAGCTAGGTCACAGAATTGATTAAACTTGTAAGTCGAGGTTCCACTGTATATTGAACAACCATGGTGACATCACACATCCCTGTCTAAGGCCTACTTTTACTGGATAATAATCTCCCTCTCGCCTATATACTCTAAGCTGAGCCTCACTATCCTTGTAAAAACTGAAGATTGAGACACTTATGCAGCATATGGGAATCTTTATTCAGGAAACGTTTCGCCACACAGTGGCTTCATCAGTCCAATACAAAGAGGAAGGCGTAAGGAGAGGAGGAGAATGAGGTAATCAGTCCCTGATTACCTCATTCTCCTCCTCTCCTTACGCCTTCCTCTTTGTATTGGACTGATGAAGCCACTGTGTGGCGAAACGTTTCCTGAATAAAGATTCCCATATGCTGCATAAGTGTCTCAATCTTCAACATGTCGGTTTTTCAAACCATTCATCACACTTGTAAAAACTCTTCACTGCTTTCAGTAACCTACCTCTTATTCCATACATCTGCAATGTCTGTCACACTGCCCCCCTATCCACCCTATCTTATGCCTTTTCAAATCCATAAATGCCACAAAAACCTCTTTATCCTTATCTAAATACTGTTCACCTGTATGTTTCACTGTAAACACTTGGTCTACACACCCCCTACCTTTCCTAAAGCCTCTTTGTTTGTCTGCTATCCTACTCTCTATCTTACTCTTAATTCTCTCAATAATAACTCTACCATACACTTTACCAGGTATACTCAACAGACTTATTCCCCTATAATTTTTGCACTCTCTTTTGTCCCTTTTGCCCTTATGCAAAGGAACAATGCATGCTCTCTGCCAATCCCTAGGTACCTTACCCTCTTCCAAACATTTATTAAATAAAAGCACCAACCACTCCAAAACTATATCCCAAACTGCTTTTAACATTTCTATCTTTATCTCATCAATCCAAGCTGCCTTAACCCCTTTCATTCTATGCACTGCCTCACACACTTCCCCCACACTCACAACCGGTTCTTCTTCACTCCTACAAGATGTTAATGCTTGCAGAATTTCACTTGGTGTGGGGCCTGAGGGCTCACATGAGGTTACTGTCCTTGCCAGATGGTCGGGAAGGAAGGACTCAGAGCTGCACTCTGCCATCTTACTTTATTCAGAGTTGTTCTTTAGGTTTTTGTATGTACCTAAATTCTGCTGGTGAAGCAGAGGTGTGTCTTATTGTTTTTTGTGAATAAGCTCACACAGATCATATTTAGGAATATTTAGCTATATTTTCTGATAGCTGCATGATCTTGTGTGTTGACACAGTCCAAATCTCAATGTTTCTCTGTTTTATGTGTATTGTCACAGTTGTGGTTTTTAGAATTACTGTACAAAGCACAGTGTTTATGCTTCTGTTTTGCTTCTGGACTTCATATACCCACCATTAGGTATTTTATAGACATTGTTGCTGACTTGTGTGTGCCAAGGTGCTGGTCGCTGTTATCACAACATTGTGTTATCGAAGAACTGCTTTTCTGGACAAGTCATTTAGCTGGTCATAACTATGTGAATTACTTGTTTAATTTTTTTAAATACTCAACAATACAGGGATGTCATAGCTAACCCTGGTGTCAAGTTTAAAGATATAACGAAGGTTAGTTTATATATGGAAGTCGAGGTCATTTTCTATAATACCTAGATTATCTAAGTAAATCCCCCAGTGGGGTACTACAGGCATCAGCACTTCCAACAATCATATACATGACTTGCATGCAAGAATAAAAACTATATGAATATGACTGCAGATGATACAAAGGTCCTGTGCAAAATAAGCATTAGAAATGATTACAAATCCTAACAAGAAGACAATGATCAAACAACAAAATGGAGTCATAGGTGAATGATGAAATATAGTGTACTGTAGATACGTGCCACGAAATGGAAATTAAAAAAAAAACTATAATATATCACAAGAAAAACTTAGGCAATGCAATCAGTATTAAAGGGGATTAACACTGAGTGATGGGACCCCCGATAGAGAATCTTTTTCCGAAAGTAATAAGACCAAAAGTTCGAAATTTTGATGAAAAACTTATGAATTACGCTCTCGTGAAATTTTGCGATCTCTGTAATATTTACGCATTGGCAATTTCACCCACTTTGGGCCCTATTTTGGGCCAATTCCTTTGTTCCATTTTAACCAAACTCATAGCTATTTTGCTAGAAATCCTTTGATTCTATTGAATGAGTACAAGACACTGCCCATTTACCTATTTTCAACCACACAAAAAAGCGATCAGAAATTACTAATTTGCCACACAAAATTCAAGAAAGGGCAAATTTTAAAATAGGGACCAGAATAATAAAGCAGAAAATTCGTGGCACTAACAAAACTTTTCTCTGTTTATCAGTACATCTCCAGGCCCTTCTTATATTAGGCTTGCTTTTATTTTGAATTTTTCTTCACACCAAAACTGATGTTTACTGTTATTCAGACTACTGCATAATTGAATAAGTGTATAAATAATATCAGCACATTCATGAATGCATATAAGACCCACCAGTGGATGTGTATTGGACATGTGAAGTGGTTTGTTTACTCTTGAACACTGTCAAAATCTAACATTTCCACTACTTTTAGCTCAATTTCAAGCTGCTTTTATTTGGGGAAAACCATTCAAAATCACCCCTATTCTGTAATGTATCTTGCATTTAACAAATGAGACCTAGAAAACGAGTCTACAAACCCTAAATAACATACAAATATACACCGCAAAATCACTGTTTTAAATCCAAAAAAAACAGTTGCAGTTTTTTTTTCTCATTATGCACTGCTTTTCTGCAGGATTTTTTTATACTGTGCACACTGACCACACAGCCCTATTCTCTCATATGTAGGCCTAAATGGGTTTCTCCTGCAAGATTTGAAGCCGCTAGAATTTTGGTGTTTGTACTCCCGGGGTGACAAATGGCTTCAAAATCATAAATTTTTCGGACTGACACTAAAGGAGTTAAAGAACGAATCTAGAAGATGTCACTAAAAATATTATATCACTGAATGATAAAAAAATAAGAAAATCTTATGCTACAGTGTAAATATAAAAACACCCTTCAGTTTTCGTAAACTTTCCCCCTCCATATCCTGGTTCGTACCACGTTTCTTTATCCACGGGTTACTGGGGCCCAAAAATAACCCTTTTTTTTCAAAAAACCGGGCCATATCCCCCCAAGGCAGGGTGGTCAAAAAGAAAAATTAAATTTTTCTTTTTTTAAAATTTTTGTAATTAATAAGGAAAGGGTTA